TCAACTACATGAAGAACTCCATCAATACTAGTTCTTGATAAATCAGTAGATTCCACAACTTAGGGGCTGTTTGGATTGTGACTATCTTTGCCATATGTTTCCATTTGATTTTTGCCACACTTGCTACACTTGCCTTAGTTGAGTTGCTTAAATTGTTAGCCACACTTTGGTTTGCCTAAGGGAATCTTGCCACACTTTTTATGTCTATGACAATGTGGGGTTTACTGCTCATAAAAAAAATCATTGCCTTAGATATGGCTAAAACCAAACACCTACCTAACTTGGTCAAACTTGCCTAAGATTAGGTGTGGCAAAGTGTTGCAAGTTGTGGTTGGGAACCAAACGGCTACTTAATAACCTGTTGGGCGTCGCTCTCGACATGGACCTGTTGAAGCCCTCTTTTTACTACTAGCCTGTACGTGTCAATGGTTCAATCACTGTTTCTAAAAACAAAATAATTTATATCTAATGCATTATGACGAGTCTGGTCCTTTGATAAAATTATTCAAAAGTAATTATACCCGAAGCGTTCTACATGCTCTCTTAAACATTTTTCTTCTCCGGGGCGGCGATGCTGACGTCTTTTGATTTACATCAGCGACTTCTCGGTACTTCTTCTACAAGCTCCTAGGTTTCAACAAGTTTGCTCCGCTGAAACGGAGACCCAGAAGCGGCAACGAGCTAATGGATGCAGGAAGAAGACTTCGACATCCACAAGGATCTGGATGTATTTTTCACTTTCTGTGAGGGTGCTTTAGAAGAGTCCGTGCTACTTAATTTATGGTCTTCGGCCTTTTCGCGGCCCCATAAAACCAGTCATCATGTAATTTCCATCTAATTAATTACATCTAATTATTGGAGCCTCTTTTAGAAAAAATAGCATTTGAATTACCAATCCTGACATGTTAGGACTATGGAAGCCCTTCACCAAGTAACTTAATACCGTGATGAATTGGTGATGAAGGTGTCGGGGTGCTCTCTTCTTTCATCAGGTGGATACATGATCCTACGATGAAGCGGGGTTTTGGTAAAGAGCCGTCCAAGTGTGATCTTTGTGACTACATCAGCCACCCTTTGGAGAGGAAGCACCCTTTCTCTCTGCTCTCCTATCTATGTCTCCACTCCCACTTCTTGCTAGTGCCCTTGTGGCATTTGCTATCATTTGGCTAAAAATATTCATAAAACCTCCCATCCCTAACCATACACTTGGACGTAACTCATCAAGCAATGCAAAAGAGTGCGAGAGAGATAGTGTGTCTCATTCCTGACTTGATGTATAGTTGTGTAGGAAGAATGTTTTAAGACAATATATAGTCTAGAGAACAAGCAAATGTGGTGGGTGGAATGCAATATGAAATGCAACTCATCAATAAAAGATACACATCACATCGCATTAGATTTGAGATTACCCCCAATAGTGAGAGCATTTACGGTCGGGCTCCCCAAACCTCACATATACGCCCGGGCGGACGGTTTGGTCACTGACCGGCCAAAAAAGTGTGACTCGGACGGACGCTTCATACATGCACTAAACACCCGGGCTGACTGACACCCTCATATCCAGCCCAAATCTAGAGCAGATACGGTGAGCCCCGGGTGCGTCCGCCATGTCGGATTGGGCCCACACTAGCCCACCCCGACTCCACATGCATTTGTCAGATCGAGCATTGGTGGATGATGATCTTGCAGAACATATGATCGCAACAAGAGAGCTGAGTGCAAAGTAATGGTTGCTTACAATGTTTGATTCACAGCCACATGCCACCCTCATAAGATTGGTAGTTACTTTGTGGGCCATTTGGACTATGAGAAGGAAAGCAATACATGAAGAAATTTACCAAACTCCTTTGGCGACACATTAGTTCATTGATCAATATATTGCTGGGTTGAAAAGCATTAAACGTCCATCAGTTGCGGTAGTTCATGCACCACCATGTGTCAATTGAGCACGCTTAGGCATGGATTCCTCCTCCGAGTGAGGTGGCAAAGATCAATGTTGGTGGAGGGTTGGCGCGCAAATGGCATTGTTGGAGCATCTTCTGTTGTCTGCCATAATTATATGGGAGTGTTCCTAGGTTCCTTAGCAATGGTTTTCCCAGATATCGATGATCCCGCATGCCTTGAAGCTCTAGCATGTCGAGAAGCTCTAGCTCCGGCTCATGATCTTATGTTGGACAAAGTGGTTATCTCATGTGCTTGCAAGCCGGTAGTGGAGGAAATCAAGAATGAAACTAGTACAAGACAAGTAATCAGTCCTCGTGTCGCTCACTCCCTAGGGCGACATGGGCGGCGGCGCAGTCCCCTTCCATCGCTCCCCCTCCTCACTCCCCTCCC